TGTGTGTGTGTGTGTGGTGTGTGTCTCACTTGGGTTTTTTTTTTGGGGGTGGATAGAAGGAGAGAACGGGGGGATGATGCGTCGGGTCGCGTCGTGTCCCGATCAGAAGGCGCTCGATAGGTATCCGGATCCCTCCAAGGAGGTGTGCGAGATCAACGTGAAGATCGCCGACCTGGGCAATGCCTGCTGGGTGGTAGGTTTCGCTTTCTGTCCTCGTTTTTGGCTCGACCCGCGAGACGTCACCGGGGTTTTCTTGCGTTCGATCAGGACCATCATTTCACGGAAGACATTCAAACGAGGCAGTATCGGTGTTTGGAAGTCCTCCTGGGCGCCGGTTACGGCCCTCCGGCCGACATCTGGAGCACGGCCTGCATGGTTCGTATCTCGTTCGTTCGAATCGATTCTTTCGTCGGGGACGACCGCGGTTGAGAGTCGGTCTTGCGATGCAGGCGTTCGAGTTGGCCACCGGAGACTATCTGTTCGAACCTCATTCGGGAGAGTATTATTCGAGGGACGAGGACCACCTGGCGCACATCATCGAGCTCCTCGGCGACATCCCGCGACACATTGCCTTTTCTGGAAAGTATTCTCGCGAGTTCTTCAAGAAGACGGGTGAGTCGGCTTCCGGGGTTCGGGATTGAAGGTTTACGGTCGGCTGTTTTGGCACCTCTTTTATATACCGGGTTATGAGAGAAGAGGAAAAGGAATACTTATTTAAAATTCAATTGCTGTATGAAATGTTCCCGGATTGATTAATTTAAGAATGTCAATTAGCAACTTGATTCCAAATGTATCAATGACTAAATGTACTCCCAGAACAGGTTTCGAACCGAGATCTACCCTGTCGGAACCACATTTTTTGTGTCGTATGTGACACTGACCTTAATCTACGTTGAGATACGGCTTATCTCCTTATTCATCTCTGCCAGGAATTCATATACTCGTTCCATGTTAGTGCGTTGCCCTTACAGAGAATCGAAGAGGCTTGTTGTTTTTTGATGCTGTCATGATGCTAGGAGATCCTAAATCCCCCCAAAAATTGCAGACCTCGATCTGCTAGTTTCGTGAGAGTAACCTCGAAGCAATATAAAAAAAAAAAAATTTTGTCTGTGCCTGTGGCCTTTCTTCTGTGGAATGGCAACTTTGGACGAAACGATGAATGTTGGAATGGATTTCCTTGGACCATGCAGGAGAGCTGCGCCACATCACGCGGCTGAAGCCGTGGGGCCTCTACGACGTCCTGACGGAGAAGTACGAGTGGGACCCCAAGGAGGCGAGGGAGTTCGCGGATTTCCTCCTCCCGATGATGGCGTTCGACCCGTCGGAGCGGGTCACGGCCGAGGAGTGCCTTCGGCATCCGTGGCTCGTGGTTCCTTCGTCCGCGGGTTCCTTCGGGTCGGGTCGTGGCCGGGGGGACGGGGGCGAGGATGGCAGTAAGGGTCAAGGGTCGAGCAACACGTCTTGAAGATTACTGTGCGGGAGTCTTAGAATCTTGACAAATTTTTTGCCGGACACTTTTTTTTTTTTTAAACGGTTCGAGTGATGGGAAGAAAGAAGATACGACGCTGGGCAGAATAGACATGTGTGAGATGTCTCTTTCTTTTCTCGTGTATCTTTATCGATTCGTGTTACTAGAAGCGGTTGCACTCTCGGGGAGAGGTATTTCCCTTCCCGTTTTGTGATACTATCGACCGGACTTGCCGACTCGCTCGCCCTCTCGACGAGGGAAAACTTTTAAGAAGACGCCAAAGAAGACACCAAGAGAAGAAGAACCCTTCCGTGAAGGCACGATGAGCCGAGTCGTCGAGGGTCTCGGTCGCTCTTTCCGTTCGTCTTCTCTTCCCCCCTCCCCTGCCGTCTCGGAGGTGCGTCGTTACATCGCGGGGCGTGACCGAGGGGTTCGTGAGGGTGATGGGGGGCGTGCACCGCTAGAGTCCGTATGTGATAGGGAGACGATGACATCCGGATGCAGGAATCTCTCCTCAGACAGATATGAGAATTCGTATGCAACGATCCCATGGTCTTAATGGCATCCCTCTGGATTGCTCCTCCTTTTTTCTATCTTATACATCGTTTGCAGTCGATCAGGGGGCAAATAAAGGCTAATTTTCTGCAGGAAATTGTGACTTTTTATTTCACAGAGGGCGGAGTGCTCGACAAAAACGATACCGACACTGTGCATTCTTCTTGGCGTGAGAAATTGAATCCGACGAGATTTTAAACGAAGAGATTTGGAGTCGACTGGCACCGGGATTCCATTCAGAGATTGAAGGAGTTGTCTCTGTACATCCCAGCCCGAGCCAGGTGCTCGGTGAAGCGGTGATTGCGACCGTAGTAACATACTGGTAAGTGGTGAGTGGAGAGGGGCCTGGAGCCGTATTCGTCAGAGGATCTTTTATAGAAGGGATCATATCCCATCTCGATTTCTGGAAACACATGCAATCTCGGTTCTGATCTTAACGCTAGAGGTACACGATGTTACTGAAAGGCCCACCCATGCAAGAGCTGGTCGACTCGGTGGGACTACGTGATTACCCAGCAGCAGGTGCACATGCCCATCTGCATCGATTAACGGAGATACGGGAGCTCATAGCTCCTTAACGAGAGATGCATGGTTATTGGGAAGCGATGGGCAGGAAAGTTCGTGTGTTGCTGTTGGCGCTATTAAACCTGTCACGCAGTACGGTGCATATAGTCGTAGTACGATGAGACCTCCGGTAACGTTTTCCCGTCAGGATTCAGGCAATCTGAATTAACTAAACGCATGGGTGGGCCTTAACTCTTGGCAACATAGCGTAGCAACAAAGCACTTACTCCTCTGGGTTTTATCGCATCCCGACGGGGTCCCCAGGGCTTCCTTTGGATTCGGACGGCTGCCTGGATTCGTATCGTGACGGAAGGCTGACATTCCACGATAATGCGATGAGAAGCGACGAGATTCGAACCAACAAACCCTTCAGCTGGAAGAAGAGCCCCGAGGTAACGAGTGTTGCCATGGCAACGAGAAAGGCAGGATGCTCCTGCCATCTGTTGAAGAAACGAGGAAGCACTGAGGTGTCATGGCTGCACTCCTTTTCAGTCCCTTTCAGTCTCGTGTGATCTCATCTCGGTCCGGTGATCATGTAGGCCTTGGCTAGGCACTTTTCGTGTTTGCCAATACGAGGAGCTCTCGTTTTCGTTTCGGTTTCAATCATGCAGCAGGAGGGCAAGCCTCGTTTCCTCAAATTCCATCAAGGGAGCGTTCGAGGTGTTGCCTTCAATCCCAAGGTGGGTAAATTATCTGGGCTGATTTGTCTCATGCTTTCGTGACGAGATCGTCCGTTTTCCCATATAAATTGAGGCCTATGCAATTCTCAGGATCGTTACTTGTTCTGTTCGGGTGCCTGCGATGGGAAGGTGAATCTCTACTCGGCTCTCCGCATGGAGCTCCTCATGTGTTACCAGATCACTACCATGTCCTTGGCTAGGAACGTGAATGCGGTTCGCTTCACTTCGGATGGTTGCCGGGTAAGACCTCCACTAGGCCAACCTTTCCATATTTTTATTTAGTGCATAGGCCTGGTCAGAGATATATGGGTACGGCCAATTTTTGATAGTCCATGTGCTAGTTATTCTTAATGACTGGGCTAGAACAGAGCCCTTTGTGTGCAGTTTAAGACATAGATGAGATGTGCAACCTATAATTATTTCCTGGAACCTTTTTGGTTGGTAACACAGGATTGATTAATCTGACCTAACCTTGTGGCTTTGAAGATACTGGAATATTTTTGGGAATATGTTGTGCAACATCTCTGTAATGATGTGACTCAGTTCAACTGGATCAACATGTTGACAGATCTGTTTGTTTTAAGTAGATGAATGGAACAATTGGATTTTAATTGACTGGTTGATGAGTGAGAAAATGTAAAAGCCTCTAGGAGAGGAGTGGGTAAACTACAACCCCCCAGGCCAGATGTGGCCTGTAGGCACAGCTAAACCTATCCCACTGGGATGTCTTATTTATTCTAAGGTTGGATGAGTGGTTGACAAATGTAACCCAAGTGATTAACTGGGAATCTTCTTTGGTAGGAAAAGCTCTAGGAAAAGGAAATGCATTCAAGATACTCTTTTAACCAAAGTGGCCTATTGGCTTACAGCCTACATTGATTTGTATCATTTTGTAGATCCTAGCCGGTACTTCAGCAAGGCGGCTGGCAGTGATCGATGTGGAACGAGGGGAGCAGCTGATAGCATATGACAATTGTGCCTACAATGGTCGAGACCGGTCAGCCCTGGCGGCAGATCCCATCTGTCCGTACATGGCTGTTACAGTTTGTGTCAACGGAAAAGGGATCACTCTCTTTGATCTCAGGATGCCTCTCCCTCTTGACTTCATGTATGATGTGAGTGAAGATGCTGGAATTTTTAAAATGCCACCTCATTGCTTTTAACCCCTTCATTTTGGAGTTTTCTATGCACTGCTGTGCCTCCCAACTTGGGTTTTTTCAGGCATGTGTATGCTTGGTGCTAGGTTTGGGCTTGAAACATAATGTACCTGCAAGTATGAGTGATTGAAAGTTGAACCTACTTTAGTAATGCTTTAGGGTGTGGTAATTGGGAAAGCAGGGCTTGATGCAGAGAGAGAAGGGACCAGACATTTAATATACCAGTATGGTTTTAGTACCAAAAGAGTTAAAGAGCAAGATGATGAGCTGTCAAGAAGGTTCTTTTGATGTTCTGGTTTTCTTTTCCTAGCTCCATGATGCACCAATCAGGGACCTTTTGTTTTTGCATTCTTCATGGCCTTGGAGTCCTGGTATCCAGGGTTCGCTCATGTCTGCTTCCACAAATGGACAAGTGAAAATCTCCTCCCTGGATGGCAGGCTTCTTCATTCCTTCAATGTTGACCACAAAATTAACTCCATATGTCCAACCCCCGAAGTATATGGGTCCTCTGCTGATGATGGCTTTTTCAGTCAGTCCACTCTCCTATGTTTTCTATCTTCCCTTCCAAAGTGAGGATCACTCTTCATAATCCTTTGTGCAGGTCACATCATGTGTGCTGGAGAGCAGGTGACGTCGTATGTGCCCGAGGTCGGTCTACAAGAGCAATTGCATGATTTCAAAGAAAACCAAGTTTGGAAACTCAGGTCTGTTGTTTTCATGCTTTTGGTTCCCTTTCTCCTTTTGTGGGTGAAATTGTTGTGACACATGCACTAATTACATTTCCCAGGTACACTTCAAACGGGTCACTACTCTATGCAGCTTGCGAAAACGGTGCAGTGAGGCGATACCGACGCTATCCGCACCATCATACCTTCCTCGGTGCTGTGTTCACACACCGAGGAGAGGTTCAAGACCTGGACATCTCCCCTTTTGATGAATGTATCCTTACATGTTATGGGTTGGCTCAACTCTTGAGAATGCTACTATTTTTGTGGTAGACCCCCATTATGACTCCAGGATTATCAATCTAGTATAGAGCACCAAAATCTTGTGCTCAAAAAGTAATAAGCAAAATAGAAGGATACCAGCTGTAATATTATGCTAAATAATGGTTTGCTAGTTCATCACATCAATTTGAAGTAGAACTAAGATAAAATTTTTGCTGGTAGTGTGGAGTTTTTTATTCTTGGTGCTTGGTATCTGTAATCAGGTACCTGTACAATGTCTTTTCATATTTGTGGGGAGTTATATCCTAATGATATAGAATGCATGTCAAGCATGGGCTGTCACAGAGGTCATGTTCAACTTTCGCTCATGTATTGAGCATGAAAAAACTATTCCTATTTGAGCTCATGGACTTCTGTTTTAAGGACTTCACTTCTGCAGAATGCATACTACAATGAAATATCTTGTAGTTGCCAGTGGTTATGTCTGTCCGTATCTGGCAGAAAGTATAGATAAGCTGACTGTTTCTTCCCTGATTTGAAGATGAGGATGAAACAGTTAGCCACTCTAAGAGCATTAAGTGAGGATTCTTGCAGGATAGGAAACAGATGGAACCACAGGATTCATTTTTTAAAATTTGGGAATGTGGAAGTGATGTTGGGGCCAGAATTGGGTTGTGTGGGTGTGAATGGTCCTCTGTTTCCAAATCAAATTCATGGACATATTCTTTATGGCTGAATGGTCTTGGTTCATCTTGGTCATGCATCATCACATGTGCCTGAGGATCTCTGCTTCCACCCATGCCAAACAATGGCTCTTAGAGCAAGAGAAAATTTTGCTTTTTTCCTGAAAATCCAGCCTAAAATATTTTGCAATTGATTTACCCTCGCTAAATTTTTGCATGCAAATAATATAAACCTTCCCTGGAGGTAACGTGTTCTTAGTTGAGAGCAGACAGTAGTTGGAACTGCTGATCACAGAAGCAATAATCCATTTGGGCTTCAAGTGAGACATTTTAAATGTTGGAATATTTCTCACAGGAAGTCTCCATTGTAAACTATCCTTGACATGGTGTGTTCAGATTTGGTGACAGCATCTCGTGATAGAAGTGTCGGGATCCTTCACCTTGGTGCACCCAAGCACGGTTGGACAGAATATTGTGAATTGACGTGATATCCAGCTGAGTGCCTCAATTAGGATTCCAATTCTTTTTTTTTATCCCTCCTTTACCCTCTTGACTGAATGGCCTTCCCACTGAGGCAGGGAGGTGTAGACTAAGATCTGAACCAGCACATTCAGAATGTATTTTCTGTATGCAGAGTGAATGACTCACCCAGGCCCCTTCTCTCCCTGGTGCCAAAAGGTCAATAGCCTACTTACCGGTAAGGACACAACTCAATCAGAGTCTCGGACTTGTTGGACGAAAGATGGACTGGTGTATTGCATCATGGGATAATATTGTTCCCATGATCATCTTATCCCATGGGCCAGTGCATGAATCCTTCTAGGGTTCTGAGAGAAAGTTTTATATTCTTTAGCACCAGTATGGAAGCTTTTGCTCTGGACAAAAGCATTGCTCAGTGATGTTTCAGGCAACTTTTTCCTCTTTTTTTTTAATGTCTTCTTCCAGTTGAACCTATTAGAGTATGTTTCAGAAAAGAATATCCTCTGTGAAATGTTTCCCTGTGTTCTTGCATTCATCACTTTAAAATTTTTCCAAAAACAGATTTTATCTTAATGTGATTGTTTATACAATAACAGTGGCACAAAAAAAGAGAGATGTGAGAAAGACAGCTAATACTAAAGACTGTCGATTCCGGCATCTTCACGATTGATGATTGTCTCTGATACTCATATGTTGCAGTTCACATTCATGTTCAAGTGAATTGCCTGAATCATTTGGAGAAGTTTGTATTTTGACTTCTGCAGAATTTTGTGTTTTGACAGTGGCCTCTTTGGCCATTTCTCCTATCAAGACCAAGGATTTGCCCACAGAAAATGATGAAACATCTTTATTGAAGTATGCTGATTATTTTTTGCTTTGTTTGCATTTTAATACAGTGCAGCACATCTGTGAAACATTGAGTGTCACAATCAATGTATCAGTGTGTGCATCATCTGGAATGTACTGAAAACCACATAATCTTTCAATATTTATCTGCATATATATTTTGGTAATTTTTTTGTGTTCGTGTGTCATGCTCTGAGTGTGTGACCTAAATATTCTCCCCTGTCTCTTTTCTACATTTTTGTAGCCAAAGATACAAAATGACCGATTCCACATGATGACTCTGAATTGCTGAATACAGACCACCTGATTGATGAATCTCAAAATTATTTTTGCATGCCTCCCTCTGTGTCGTCTCTCTCGTGCGGCGCGGGCCGAGACCACCCGACCCGAGATTTGAGGTGGATCGCGAATTCCTCGAGGCCTTCGTAGATGCTGAGCAGGGAGAGTCCCAGACAGACACCAAGAATTCCCCCCAAGCCAGAGAAAAACTCCAGCAGGGTTGTCGATGGATGCTCTTCTACTTTCTCCACCTAATTTGCAAGATGGGATTCTTAATTTCAGGACGTATTGAGAATCTTGTTGATTTTCAAAACTCACTTCAGTCATTGGGGCATTGAGGAAGATGATGCCAAGGCCTTGTTCCATGAAAATTTTTGGAATCGCCGTGGGGACCGGCAGGATGCTATAGATCGTCCGTCTGCAGCTCCTCAGGCATCTGTGGCTGATGTTTCTCATGAATCGGTGATGCTTTTCATAGACTTCCACGAGTTTCATCAAGTCGTTCGTGTCTTTGCAGTTCGGAAGGGTGCTTGCTCCGTCGTCGGCCATCATGGACGGCAGGATGCAAGGGGCATCCTGAAGGTATCGCTCCTTGTGTTCTTTCTGCATGCACTGCAACCAAAATCCAGGTTTTTTTTTGGGTTTGACGAACGAGAGAGAACGGACCCGGGCTCGAACCTACCTTGGTGAAGTCATTTTCCACATCTCTGCTGCACATGTGGCTGGTGTCCAATAAGTGTATGTACCTTGGAGAGATGCTGAGGGTGAAGCTGCTCCCCGAAGACAGTTGCACGGTCTTCGACGAGGTTGGGATCTTGAGATCTGTGAAAGACTCTTCATATGGGTGAATGTGGATCTCGTAAAAACTTGCGACATATTTTTGCTGCTGGGAAAGGACGTCTTGAAAATTCAACCCAAGGACCATGAAAGGATCAGTGGAGCCCAGCATCACATCTCTCTTCGTACGAAAGGTGTAGCAGTGTCTCATCGAATTCGAGATGAATCTCACCTCCGTCCAGTTCCCTCCTGCCGAGAATCTCTTAAAATGCGTTCAAGATGCTTTAAAAAATCCCGGAAGCAGTCATACCAGCAGTGCGAAAAACCCGATTCCCATTCTCCGCCTCGACGACCCCCTCGTCGTAGCACCCGACCCCGTCCGACCAGCAGTACCTCACGAAGCTGAGGTCGCCGAAGGCCAAGTACCTCAGCGCCTCGTCGAAGCCCACGCCGAGCCCCGCGAGGACATCCGCCGTCACGTTCGGCGCGAAGCCTCCCTCCATCGTCAGACGATGCCGCTCGAGCGTCGTCGCGTTCCAGCTCGGACTCGGACAGACGGTGACGGCCGGGAAGGCCATCGTCGTGTCCTCTCTCAGGGCGATCGACTGCAACGTCGGGTTATCCACGTAGTACCTCAGCATTCCCACCACCTATCGACACCCCTCTCACACCGAGCCCTCTCCAAATCCATTAATCGACGAAAATCGCACCGAACCTGAACGAAAGTGAGCGAAACCGCCGCGCCGAGCACCGCGACCCACAAAACCCGCCTGATTCCGGTCCTTTTGCTCAGTCCCAGTCCGCCCCACGGAGCCGTCGCGACGCCTGAGAATAACAATTCCACTCGCCAAACGAACGAAATTTATCTTTTTTTTAAATTACAAATAGGTTTTACCTTTTAATGTAAGTTGTGGGATTTCCCACGACTTCTTCGTCTCCGTCTCCATCCGGCCGAGTCCGATGACAAACTCATCGACGAATTTTCGTTGAAGCGGTTTTTGAGGGCGAAGGCCATGAATATTTCAGGGATGGAAAGAGTTTCGTCAGTGAAATATTCATGGCGATTCGCGGGTGGAAAAATCCATTTTCATCAAGCCGGAAAGCCTCGAAATTAGCAATCACGAATTTTATTCTCGTCCCATCACTTTCCCCCCCCTATTTTTGTCCGCGTTCGAAAAAAAAAAAACCACCAAAAAGTGAATGAATCGAACGGAAACAAAATCAGACCCGATCCTGCACATCGCCACGAAAGAAAAGAAATCCCGCAAGCGACTGAATGAAGCGAGGAAAGACCCCAGGCACAGCTGTTACTGAGAAAATTTTTTTTTTTTTACAAATATTTTCGCACCTGCGTCCAGGCCAAATTGACATCAGAGACCTTCCCATGATTTCCGAAATGTTTTGAAACGCCAAACCCTCTTAGGAAATAGAAATATCTACTGATAAATCTTGTAGACAGGGCCAGCCCTTGCTATTTCGGCACTCAGTGCAAAGAAAAGCGCCCCCAGCCCCCTCTGGATGGAGAAGCGTCAATCCCTAGCGTTCAAATTGACGGAAGACATTTTCATTTTCTGAAGTAAAACTGAGGGTGGCATCCATTATTGCTTCGCATATTTAGTCACGTTTCGGCGCCTCGGGTTTATTTTGCGCCCTGTGCGGGGGCACATGTGGCACGTGCCTAAGGCCAGCCCTGCTTGTAGACAAGACACAGTAAAATCCCATTACCCAATCCCACTTCCCACTTTCGTGAAGACGAAACGCGGAAATGGCAATTTAAAAATTTGAGATGGAACCGGGCAGTTGCCAGAGTTGCAGCTCGCAACCTGGATCGCAGTGTTGTCAGAGCCACGAGATGCACCTCTGGCAACACTGCGATTCCAGCATGCCCGCTTCCACCTGGGGGTCCTCCCGAACTTACCCGCGGAAGAGTGGCACACGCCCGACCGGCATCGCCTCGGTCGTTTCGGATTGACTCCATAGTCCTAGCCTGTTGTTTTTAGGATTCGCTTCCTACGTTTTCAAAATGATTTTTTATGCAGACAAATCATAAATTCTTTGGTTGGCGTAGGGCAGACCTCGGAGCAAGGTCTTGCGTTTAACTTTTACTGTTAGTCATGGAGTTTTAAATTTTAATTTTTCCCCTGAAAGCGACTCCCGACACACCCAAGGCAAGTTGACTTTTTCCTAACGTCAGGCCATGCTTCCAACGACTACTTCAAATGAAAACCTGGTCAAGTCCTATGTCAAGGGAGGCCTTAGTTCTACTCATCTCCTGGTTGCATAGACCCTTTTAATATTCACCTATTTAGGGGCACTTGATTTTGCGTACAATGCACCAACCACTGAGTTTCCTAGCAACACAAGACTCAATATTAACGAGTAACTCCCTTTTGCCTATGAAAGTACAAGGGAGGCAGGAATTTAACTTGCAAAATTTGGAGTCAAAGCCCTACTCATTATTCACCTACCTTATCATTGAGTCCCCTCTTCTAAAAATCCTGCAAAAGTTACTGACTTTAATGGACTTACTGATGTAGAGTATTTAATAATCCTGACAGGCCTGCTGAAATGTGTCACAATCATAAAGAGCCTTTTGTTTTGGCTTAAGCTATTGAGTGAGCACGATGAAAGTAGGCCTACATTGTAATTTCATATGATATCTGAAAACCTGGTGTCCTCATGGTTCACTGAGCCATGAACTTGAATTGGAAATTGACAATTGGAGTCCAATTCCTAACCCTTCCTAGTCCTGTAACATGTTAAACACGTGACACCACAATGTGTCACATGGGAAGATGAGTGTTTTGCTTCTTGTTGGTTGACATGTAAACAAAGCCAAATGAATTTAGAATAATTACACTTTTGGTTTGACTGAGCAGAGGTCACCAATAGGATAAGGAGTTTCAACTATGATAGGTCTTCCCATTTATGCATGGCCATGATGTCAATTCAAAGAATTCACTGAAGATCTAGATGCTGTTTGACTTCTTTGGTATTGATGAAATCTTGTTCCATCCATCCCACAGGCCTAAATTCTGGCATCTTGGTTCAGTGCCAGTACAGGTGACAGGAGAATGACCTTTCCCATGGACACAGTGAGCTTCACTGCATCACCTGTTTCTGGGGGAACCAACTTGAATATGAGTACTGGATTGCCACCTCAGGCTGCTGGAGGAGGTGGAAGTCTTGAGCATGCTGTCAAGGCTGTGGATAAATCTGTTGGCTCTGATGGGAGTTTCCCCACACTTGCCGATCAGCTGCATATTACTGTCCAAGGTGAGTTTCAACACTGTTATCTTAGGTCTAAAGTAACAATATGTTAAATGGCAGTTTCAAGAAAAGCCCCATTCTCACACCCATTGGGAGGGGAAAGGATAAACATGATTGTGAGCAGAATGAGACTGAACATAGTTGCAGTTGATGTCAATTGATGTTTCTCAGTATTGTCATGGCAGGCTGGGACCTCCTCTTGTCAGCCATCTAATAATGATTAATCAGTCTTGTATGTCTTGTATTAATTCAGTAACTTGTGTTATGACAATCGTCATTGCAATTCCAAATTTGACTTACCAGTAGGAACATAGGATATTCTGATGAAAGGAAAAATATATTTCTGGCTTAACTATTTAGGTTGCCAGCATTTCTTGAAAAGTAGGATGGGTACCTCATGTTTGGCTTTAATCTTAACCAATTGTCCAGGCTTGGGATGAGAAGTTCTCATGTCCAATAGACATTTCCAATGAATGCTTCTCTTTTTGGTATTAGACAGATGACTGGATATTTAAAAACATATCTAAGGCTGAGTTTTTTTTTCAGGTGGTTGCAGTGTGAGTGGTCTTAGTGACCATGATTATCCCAATTTAGCTGCTCAAGGAGTTGGACTGGAAGCTCTAAAGCATTTCAGTGTCACCAAAAAGATCCCAATCCCTCCTGAACTCAGAGAACATCATGGGAGTATCCTTTTCTTTTGTGTAGCACCATCTGACAGACCTCTTCATCTCTTTGTTATATCTGTTCTCAAAGAATGACATTCATGATTGTTTGAGCCTGAGCTTATGATTCTCAGATATGCAATGCAATTCTATAATGGGGTTATTCCCTGAAATTGGTCGCGCCTGGATGACAGTGGACTCTGACATTTTTGTCTGGACATATGAAGATGGGTGAGAGATTTATGTATTTCATGTGGGATTGTTGTGTGAATTGACCCCATCAGGCACCCTGATCTTGATGCATGTCCAATTGCAACCACATCTTTGTTCCAGGGGAGACCTGGCATATTATGATGGACTGAATGAAAGCATTGTAGCAGTGGAGCTGGTGAATCCTCGTGAAAAGGTGTTCCAATCCCACATTCGTTACCTCCTCTGCCTGGCCACTCCCATTGAGATTGTTCTGCTTGGAGTCACCTTCCAGACGTCATCAGAGGGTTAGTGTTCCTCAGCTTTCCTATTAGGTGGGCTGGAGGCAAAGCATTTTGCTATCCTGCATATATATATTTTACATTTCAGGTTCAATGGATGGGGATCTGAAAGAAATGCATTTGCTGCCCGAGCCATTGTTTACCATCCCATCTGACAACATGCACTTCTTGTGCATATATGGCACTCCATCTGGCAGAATCTTCCTTGGAGGGAGGGATGGTTGTATATATGAAATCAGATATCAGGTCAGTTCTTATTATAGTACATATTTACATAAGATTTGGACTCATTTATGAATGAAACAAAAATATAAAGTTAAAACATAATAATTAAGGCAATGTATAGAGAACAGTTTCCAGTGTTATCAGAATTCTAATAGGTGTTTCAAAATGTGAAGATTAGTTTGTTTTGACTCTTCTACACCTTCAAGAGCATGGTCAAGTATCTGTTGATACTTGCAGTATTGGCATCATTAACCCTAATCCGGGCAAGGTGAGTCCGCTGGACTCACTATGACATATTTAGGTGTATTACTGTAATTATTTTTTTAAACTATCAGGACCATTGAATAAATTGTCTGTATTATTTTAGTTACAGTACTGTTATTTATAAGAATACATACTGTAACCGTAGCAAACGGCCTTATTTTGCATGAGTCTGACAGACTCACCTTGCCTGGAATAGGTTGTAAAAAAGCTTGCCCGGATGAGGGTTAATAAAACAGGTACATTTGCCTGCCATTTCCTGATAACTTCAGAGTACTCTTTGTGATACCTAATCTATGTCTTATGTGGTGAATTCTTCATGAGGGTCCATGCATGCCATTGCAAAATATCCATTCTAATGAGGATATTTATGCTGAAGTGCCTACAGGGTGACCACAAAGCTCCAATATTTCTGGGTGCAACTATAGGCCACCAATTGCTATAATAATTTTAAATCTTGGGGAAGAAAGTCTATGAAACAGGATCTGCTCTGAAACAAGATTGGAACCAATTTAGACTGTGACCATGGTTTGGTCACTCAAAAGCGATAATCAGTAATTGGTGTACAGAGCTGATGAGATTAACCTGTCAGTGTAGGTTTCTGGGACCTTTCCTGGGAATCATTTCAATCATTATCCTAAGTTTTGTTGGTATGGCCTTTCTCATGAATCCATTCCACTTCCAGCAGACATTCTTGTATTGTATGGGCAGTGATATCACTCATGGTTTTGTGCAGTTGTATCTTGAAATATAAAACAGCATGTAGTGCAGGCATATTGGAGTTTTGTCATTACCTTGTAGAAATTCATGTAAAAAGCTAATCCAAAATACACTGAGTGCCCCAAAAGCATAATGAATTGGTAATTTTCTATTATACTCAGAATGATGCCTGCACAATTTATATGGTAGTGGATTTCTAGTTCTAATCTATTTAAGTCTTTATCTGTTTCCAGGCTTCTGAGGGCTGGTTCACCAGAAGATGCAAGAAAATCAATCATTCCATGTCTGCCTTGAGTTGGTTGGTGCCCAACTTTCTTAGCTCAGCCTTCACAGAACCAAACCCTATAATTCAGCTTTGTGGAGATCATTCAAGAAACACTCTTTATGCGCTGAGTGAGAAGGGATCAATCCATGTGTATGACCTTGGAGAAGATGGAGAAGGATTTTCAAAAATTTGCTGCTTGGGGCTGAGTACCATTGTCCACGAAGCATCCTCTGCTGTCAGGTACTCTCTCTCACATGTTTGGAACTAGTGTCTATTTGTTCCCTTCCTTTGGGAAATACTTGTGGAATGTCTCTAGAACTGTGGATGAGAGCAATTTCCGGTCGCTGGTGAGAATTCAAGAAATAGGGCAAGAAGATTCCCCACAGATTCACTTGATGGCTGTGACAGAGACAGGAGTTCGGCTTTACTTTGCCACTAGTCCCCTGAACATGTGGAATCGTCGACCCTCGACCCTCTTCCTCGTCCATGTGCGCCTGCCCCCAGGCCTTGCTACCACTTTCATACCTCAAAGACCCAGGGGCATTCACCTATCCTATGCCAAGAATGGTATGCCTTCTACAGTTGATGTATGGAATTTTGCTGTCATTCAGTCTCTCGCAATTCAGCTGATTTTATGTTTCCTGCAGGGACTTGCATGCATGTGGCATCAGTTTCTGAGACATCAGAGATGCTTTGGTTCTACAGCCCACAGTTGTTTGCTATTCACATGAATTTGTGTGAGGCTGTGGAGACAGTTACTTTGGATGGTGGTGTCATAATGGCTGTTTCTGAGGAGACAAAGATTGAATCATGCAGCATAGGGAGGAGGCCTCCCATGCTTGTTGCACAACACATTCATCCTCAAAGACGGTTCATCTTCCTCTCCCTTCAAGTGAGATACCTGTCTTTCTCAGCTCTTCATGGCATGGACAAAAAAGCATGAATGGTAGTTTGTTTCAGGGAGCAACAATTGTCACACAACTAAGGCCTGTAGATCAACTGAGAAATCTTTTGTTGTCTGGGAGGGGAGCTGACAGTGCAGCTGTGAAGGCATTCTTCTCTCTCCTCACACCTGAAGAAGCTTGTTCTACTGCTCTCAGTCTTATTTGCTCCAATCAGTTCTTTGATGATCAGGTTGGATGATAGTGATACCCGAGAGAATAGGTATTATCAGCTGGTGGGTCATTCTAAAATATTTCTACTGAATTTTTCATCCCTTATAGGTGGTGGAATGGTCAAAGAGGGCATTCTTCCTTTATGGAAGGGAACCAGTGATGGGACCTGGGAACCTCTCATATATTGGGCCTGGGGGAGTGTCTTCTCCTATCACTTCTTCCTGTGAGCTTGTCTCCATTCGATATCACATCATTCCATTACTGTCAGACAATTTCTGACACTTTGACCCCATTACCTCAAGTTTGCACTTGAACTTTACATCCAAAATGTCCTGGATCTTCTTTTCAATTTGAGATACTACATTTTTCACATCTGGTGTGTCTGAACAGTGTTCCAGCCTGGATCTGCCTCAACCCCTGTGCATGCCAGCATGGGAAGGGGAATGCTTTCTCTAAATCCACCTTCTCAACCGACTGGTTCCTTGGGATTCTCTGCCAAGCACAGTGCCCTGTATAGATACTTTGGTCGTCTTGTCAGGCCTCTCTGGCATGCCAAAGTCTGTGAAGAATTTTTAGCTGCAAATGGAAAGCATTATGTGAGCCATATCATCTGTATTGCCTACTCCTTTGAAAAATATTCCATTGGAGCCTTTTATCCTTTGAGCAGCTGTCAATCCCAATCACCAGTGGGGAACTAACATGGGTCATGGAGCAGCTGGAGCAACTCTCGGTTTTTGTCCGCAAAGAACTCCCTCTGGCCCCTCTCCCACGTGGTCAGCCGCCTCTAATGCATTCAGAGAGGTATTTCTTTTCACAGAATGAAGCAAAACCTCTTTACAGTCTTCAGTGATTTGCTGAATTTGATTGATGTGTTTTTCTGCATATAGTCCACTGATGGGAAGGCTGGGAGGAGGTACATCAGGTGGAATCCTGAGAAGGCCTGTGCTGAATGGTACAGCTGGATCTGGTCAGGGGCTCGATGAGAGTTCTTCTCTCCAAGACTTGGAGGCTCTTGTTGTGCTCACCAAAGAGACTCTTGGGCTGTGGCGCATCCTCTCGGATCATCAGTTCTACACCCTTGCCGAGAAGCTCACGCAGGAAAATCAGAAGCAGTTGCAGGCCATGACTTTCCGGGACTTGATCTTCAATGGTCAGGACATCACCAATGCCCTCATCCAAGTTCTTGTCAATTGGTCGGTCTTTTGTTTCCTTTTCTGTTTGTTCCACTGGTTATTTCTTCCCCTAAGCGTTTCCATGGGGTTTGGATTTCACAGTTACCTTGGTGACAATGCTGCAGTGGACTCTGTCATTGTTCGCTTGCGGGACATCTGCCCTCACATTTATCGAGATGAGGATGCCAAATGTGCCAAAGTAAGCTTGTTCCTGACAGTTTACCTTAATATGGGAGGAATATAACTGTTTAATTTAAATGTATCACTTTATTTCATCTTTGAACAGGCTACAGAACTCCTGGCAGCAGCCAAAAATTGTGCTGAACCTTACCAACAAAATGATCTCATTTCAAGTGCCATCAAGGTAAATTAGGTCTTGTTCCTTGTACTATGGAGTTTTGTGATGAGTTGATTGCTTAAATTGTGTCTCTATGTATATGAATCAGCTCTGCATGGAAGTGGCAGGTCAACTGGACATGGGGCAGGTTGCAAGGCATTTAGTTGCATGCAGGTCATTCACCCCTGTGGTCCATTTGTGTTCAAAGGCAGCTCTGGACAAGGATCCCCAGAGTCTTGCCCTCACTCACTTCCAAGAAGGCCTTCCCCTGGATTCTCCGCTCTCTCGAGATGCCTTTGCAAGGAGGTGAGTCTATTGATCCTATCCTCATTTTAATTCAATGTGCCTCTCCTGATATTTTGTCTCTTTCATCTATACAGACAGGATAGCTACAAAGTAATTTGTGAGGTCCTGGGACAGTTGCTCCAGGCAACTGGAACCTTATTATCTCCTGATGCTGGAACCCAAGCTGATTTTATGCCACAGATGTCTCCCACTGAAGCTCAGGATGCGGTCAGTCCATCAGCTTTGACTCGTACTGCAGAGGAGATTTGTGGGGTTCATTTTTAAATGCAGCACCTGGTACAGAGCTGAGTTCCTTGCATGTGTGTTAATGAAAATGGCTGCATTTAGCTTGGAGATGATGCAGCAGCTGCAAATAAAAATGCACCCATGGATACATTCATGTGGATCACTCCTCTTTTTCCTGTTTCAGGCTGAAGAGATGGTGAAAACTTGCCTGGAAAAAGATGATGAGCTTCTTCACATTGCCCTCTACACATGGCTCATTGATCACCATCTCTCTAGCATCCTCCTTCAGCTAGAATGCACAACTTTGGAGCCATTTTTGCAGCGAGCTGCATCAAATGTTGTTCAGATCCTCCCTCAGGTCACTGCCATGGATCTCTTGGCCAAGTACTATGAGAAACATGAGAGGTACCTCCAGGCAGCAAAGGTGTTGTCTCGACTCACCGAACGACACGGGTCAGACCTCTTCTCTATGATTCCAGCAGCCATTTATTGATATTAAGATCATTGATGATTTTCCTTCCCATGCTTCATCTTATCAAATGCATGAAGTTTTTACTCATTTGGTTGGATGGACATATACATGTGTTCCAAAAGTTTAAAGAAAATATGAAGTAATGATGGCATAGGTGTACCTCTGGTACAACAGGGGAAAAAATATAAATTTCATTCAAAGTACTTGATAATAAAGCAGTAATATATGACAAAGTTATTTGTTTCCATTTTAACCAACTTTCCAAATATTCCATGAAACTGTTGGGAATGGTTCTTTGAAATTCAGTTTTATCAGCTTGCAAGGTGTCCCATGAGTCAGGAATCATTGGATCAACATGGACTCTTGTTGATCCTATGACAAACATGTGTGCTCAATGTGATGCCCCCTTCATGTTTAAGTGCAGGCTTTGTTGTTTCCTGTCAGTATTTTGCTGTCTTCTGTGGGATGTGCTCTTAATATTGCCAGTTTCTTTGAAAAAACTTTTTGTGGCTCTCATTATTGGTGTCTGATGCAGATGTGTAGTGCTTAATTTGTCTCCATCTGTTTATTAATTTCCAGCCCTACAACATTAGGATTATCTTCTTATAATCCTTATTGGGACACACTAGAGCTAAATATGGAAAAATAAGAATTTTGTTCTATCATTTTGCTCTATCATTCAATAATAATGGTAAGTGGAGTGATGAATGAAAGCTGCATTTGCAAGGAGGCTCTTTTAATCACTGCTGCTTGCATGGTCACTGAACAGTCCACTCACACTCAACAGACCCATGATCCATGCTTACTTAACCCTTGCTGGTCTATTTCTTTTAGAATGCTATGACCAATTGTCTACCCAGTGGGACAGAGGGCTGCAAAGGGTTAATATCAAAAAGTCAGCATGTGGGATTGTATTATTTTGATTCTCAATATGTTATTTACTGACCTTGTGTATGCATACAGGACGGATGTGACACTAGAACAACGGTTGGACTACCTGACTCGGGCCTTACTGTGCATCCGCTGTGCTGGTGGAGGTGCTGAACTCCTTCATGAGCTTGAGGACAAGATGGATGTTGCACGACTTCAGGATAAGGTATGGCAGCGGCGTATTTCTTAACCTTTTGAACATGCATGAGAGAAATATTGCTATGCTGGTTAGATGGGTTTATTGATCTGCTACAAAGAATATTATGAGCTCTCATTGTGATATTCCTTCACTGCTGGTTGCTGGTTCCTTCTCTTGTACTCATGTCACTTGTCTCCTGAGGCAACAAATTTATAAGAATTTTATCAGTCTGGCTGTTTCTGCATTTTCAGCAACTGACACTGGTCAATGACATGCAAAACATAATTGGCCAAATCCTACCATTAGTACACCCCTAATCAGTAATGTTAGTTTGGCTGATTGATGGTGGCACTAAGTTGCAATGAGTGCCTGCAGCCTACTTGCACATGAGATGAAGAAAGGGGAAAGTGTAGACTGCTCAGTGGGGGAGTCAAAGCAGAAGGTGTTCCATGCCAAGCTAGGTTTGTCTGTGAACAAAGGTTAAACATAGGGGAAAAATTGCATTCTAACCCAGATATGATTTATTTCTGTACTGCTTCAAATCAAAAGTGGGGAGTTTAGTTTCATACTTTTGGATGGATCTTGGAACAAAAATCTCAGAATGAAAGAAGAGCTGAGTGGTAAAATTTGACATAGTGGTAAGTTCAAGATTGAAGCCATGTATATGAGAGTTTCATTTTAAAATGTTGGCTGGTTAAGCCAAGATGATTGACTAAGTTTTACTGTATCTGCTGTCTCAAATTTCTCAAACAATGTAAGGTATGCTCCAAAATTTAGTCAAGACATGACTTCGAGATTGAATATGGGTAAATTAGAATTTCATCTGAAAATATTCAATGGTTATTGTACAGTAAACTGTTAAATTGACAGTGCTGTGTCCCACAGGTAGCATAGACTTACATAGTAAAGTGGCTGACTGGATCTTGCTTGCATCTTGAGGGCATCTCTTTTCAATTTGTAATGTTTTCTGTTGTTTCTGCCATACATTCAGTATTCTTCTTCTGTTATCTCTTGGTGTTTCATTTTACTGAAATTAGTTGTATTCATAATTATTTCTTTCTTTTACTCAAGGTTAGAAAATTGACTAGCAAATGGATTTAGTTTGGTTTGTTAGATGCCTCTTGGTCGGATGCAGGAATTCAAAATGGGCATGTTGGAACATGATCCCTGAGCATAGGGTGCATTTGGCACATAATGGAAAGGTTTTTTCTTCCACCTTTATCAAATTTTTGAAAGTGAAGAGATTCCAGTTTGACAAGCTACAGTGTCTCAAAAGTATCTGGCATGCTTGAGAAATTTTTGTAACTCTACTGGTTCAGTGTGTGGGGGATGGACTCCCTGAACAGAATTATTGTGTTCATGTATACATTTTTCTGTATGTCGTTACATCAGATCCTGGGATCAGTGAAGCAGCTGCCTCCTTCACCAGCCGTTGAGGATGCCATTCGAGGCCTCAATTCAGACCTCCTTAGTGTTATGGAGGTAAGCCTAAGAAAAAAGTTGCATCATTTCACCATCAACAGTCTCATCCAAAGAGGTGATCGTATTTTTGATTTTCACATCTGCCTTCTTTATTTTAGCTTTACAGTGAATATGCAGTGCCGTTGAGTCTTTGGGAGTGTCAGTTGGCCATCATCCACTGTGCAGGGTATCAGGACTCCCACCTTATCTCAGACCTGTGGATGAAAATCTTCCATCATGGTTTGTTGTTTACCTCAGGTGATGGTGGTTGGTGGTCATGGGTTGAAATTGAATTGTTTGTTTTTTTTTTGAGCAGAGTTCTCACTTTCGGAGACAGAAGTTCCTGAGACGCGCATTCCGTTACTCAAAGAGAAGCTCATCTCCCTCGGAAAGAAGTACAGATCTCCCGAGATCTACTTCCCCCTTGGTGCGTCTCTGATACCATCATGGGCTCTTGAATCTTTGCAAGCTTTATATTGTGCAAATTGTGGTAAATTTTTTCAGGTTTCATACTTGGGTACCTGGAAGAACGTGCCTTGGAAGAGGGGCTGACCACAGATCCAGCATGGATCTGGTTTGCTCTTCATGAAGCAGGCATCCCCATGTCCACAATTCTTAATGCCTACAACTCGTGAGTCATCCAGAGCATGTGCTGTGTTTCATTAGAAATGCCCTAAGGGCAGGTTTTGCACTAGGAAATTACTTGCATGAAAGTAACTGATGGGGAAATTGCTACTCAGTGTTATTGCACACATAACAATTTTAAAGAACATTATTTCTTAGAAACTCATTACCTTCTCAGGCATAGTTTCCCTATGGAAAGGATCTCTTACAAAGTAACATTCATATGAGCATACTCACATGTGCAAAATCTCTAAGAGCAAAGATTTGATGGATGCACTGCAAGATGATTCCTACATGTTATATTTAGTCTGTTGGGGGGCCAAGAGGGAGAATGGGGTTCAGGATCTCGCAGACTCCACTTGGCAAGAGCCATGGTGTCCCTCATGGAAGCATTTGCCCGAAATCCATCATTGGCGCCACTGTCTGACAGGTATTACTCTTGCATGTTTTCACATCTAGAGTGTTGTATTTCACCATCTGCTTTCACACTCAAGGAGAAATGAATGAAAACGAACATCAACAAAATCACTCTGCATGTGGAACCTTGAGTGGGAAATGGGTGATGCCAATATGTAAGTTCCAGATGGTGACAAGAAGTCATTCTAGGTTTCTCCTGTCATTTTGTTAAAATTGTAAATGAGAACACAGAGACTTCCAGCCACAGATGCATGCCAGTCTTGCTTTGGGTGATTCAATTAATTCTGTAGAGACAGAAATATGATTGTGTGTCTCTCCCCTTCCGTCACTACAGGCAAGCCATCAAAGTGAGTTGTTTGGACTGTGTGAATCGCTTCATCGTCGACCTTCAGTTCCAAGAGCACGACGGTGATGGTTCCGGTGAAGTCATGCAACAGCTTCGCAACACCCAGCATCTTCTGCTCAATTTATGACAATTATGTGGGGTATTTGACCTTTTCATCATGCTCCTGAGTGAATCCTTTGGAGGTGCCTGGAGGAAGTATCATTTAAAAAGTGTGTCCCTGGTTGCTTGGATACGTTAAGGAAGGTTTTGACATTGTCTTCTTATTGATATGCCTCTTTAAAATGAAGAAGGGAAACATTTATAACAATGAAATATTGAATTGTTTACTGCATGGTGTTTCATTATATACCATCATCCTCTGGTCCCCTTGGCTCTGCCATCTGGTCTGCAAATTATTTGCAGGTCGGGAGGTCTATTATTTTTCATAAATCGGACTCCGCCTCCTTCCCGCTTCTTTCCTTTCCATTGCCCTCACAATCGCCTGACGGCTCGCTCAGAAGTTGCCTAGCAGACGCTCGGAGTGACGTTATCGATCGCTGAAAGAGCATGGAAGTCTCGTGCTTGTCCAGCCTGTGATGCGTTCTTGCTCGTTTCTTCTCCCTGAAAACTTTTCCATCGCTCCGAAGCTAATTTTGCCGTCAAACGTGGATTCGACTGATTTTCATCCTTCGAGGCCTCCATGGAAATGGAGGTGAACAGGGCGACAGGTGAATCCACTCGGGTCCCTAACATTAGCCCAGGAGCAAAGGGTCATACCTAGGACATCGGGATATCATAGAGATGCCCGTGGGATGTTCGTAGGGACCCTTTGCTGCTAGGGTAGCTATTATAGGCCTAACGTTAGGCTACTTCATGGTGGCCTATCGAGAAAGGAGATGGTTAGTAAGGAGTCCATATGCCTTTCAGCTTTTCCAGTGCATGAGGCAGCTCGGAGGGGAGACGTGGAGGACCTTCAGTCTCTCCTACGGTTGGGATATTCTGTGAATTGGACGGACTATGATCGCTGCACGCCACTGCATGAGGCGTGCTCGGCTGGGAAGGTCGAGGCTGTTCAATTCCTCTTGGACAATGATGCGCTGGTGAGAAAGGGGGGAATCTGTGGGAATTCGTTATTTTTTGCCAGTGCCTTGTTCCATCATCATCGTGTGGTTGGCCTGTTAGGCCTACCAATTGAGAAATTAGCTCAGTGGCTGCTGGTACACTTGCAATGAAGTTCATGAAGGTGAAGTTTTACTGACAGGTTGTTGAAGGTAAAATATAACCAAGCAAAATACTTGGTTGAAAATGGGAAAATTGCATCATGGCACATGACATACAAATAATTCACAGAGGTTGGATTTCTGTGATCAGAAGCATAGATTTATTCTCCCATTCCCTTCCTACTGAAACTGCAATATTTTAGCCATAATCTTAGTCAGTCCCAAGTTTTCCTTGAAAGAAGGCCTTTTGTCAGATTGAGCTTCCTCAACTTTTTTTTCATTCAGGTGAATGCATGGAACATTGATGGGTCAACCCCCTTGTGCCAAGCATGTGCCAGTGGAAAATCAGAGTGCGTTCGACTGCTCCTCGGTCGAGGGGCAGAAGAAAATCCAGTCCTGTTCCATGGCACAAGTCCCTTGCACGAAGCAGCTGTCAGAGGTGACCCAAGCCCTTTCATGTTTTCTGTTCTTGTCATGGGAGCAAGATCTGAGCCTTATCTCATTGTTAGTATTTTGTGGTGACCTGTCACACAATAGGTCACACAGATTGTGTGAAGTTGATGCTGGATGCAGGGGCGCTAGTGAACAAAACAGACACCCATTTTGGGACTCCTCTTCATGCTGCCTGCATTCATCCTAGTCCAAATATTTCCTGTGTTAAGGCCATTTTGGATGGAGGTGAGTATGATCATGAAACCTTTTGCTCTTTCACACTCTTATTAGAGGATGCAGAAAAATTTCAGTAGCAGTAGCACAAAGCTGTGTAATGGATAAAAAGAAGGCAAGGACTTGGGTTTTGTCTTCTAATTATGCCATATATATGAGGTATTGTGAAATTCAGCATACTGTAACTCACTGGGCAGTCCAGTGATTTGTTTTTATCAACTTGGGTTTATATTGAAATATATCAATTTGAGCTGTCAAGGATCCATACTGTCTGTTCTGTACGTGACAGTGCTATGGACTCTGTTTTTCAACGTATTTCCTTTTTCTGTAATACTCTTCCACTATTCTTTTTGGTAATTCATTTTCAAGGTCATTTCTGTCAAGATACTTCTGATTAACATTCTTTCTTATCAACACCATTCTGGATCAACTTCATTCTGTGTCAAAAGTATTATCACTTTGTTGTAAGGTCCTCTTCCAAACTGCCTCCAGCTTTCTATTCCATCACAGGCGCAAACGTGAATGCAGTGAGAATCCATGCCACTGCATTGCACGAGGCTTCCCGCAACGGGAACACGGATCTGGTGGGGCTCCTCCTCGCATACGGAGCAGATCCCTGTCAGAGAGACAATCAGAACCGTCTCCCTCGTGACCTCTGTTCGAAGGACTCTGCATCGTGGAATCTCCTGCTGGATGCCGAATGCAACGTCCCGACCCTCCAGCATCTGTGCCGCTTGAGATTGCGGGATGTTTTCCCCTGTTCTCTCTTGGCTTCCATATCCTCCCTCCCTCGCTCTCTCCTTCGGTACCTGCTCTACGAAGAGTACTCCCAGTCGTGTGTCTCGGCAGCGTCTGGGGGCGTCAGAGATTTCTTCTTCCCTAGTCGCACTGGAGCGTGCTTCTGAGAATCCTTTTTCCTAGTTTTGTGATCTGAGCATGTAGGCTGTTTGATGTATACCTGTTGTTTATTGAAATATATTGTTAATGTGAAGAACTTCACTCAAATCTGGATGACTGATGCTACCAATCAATCAGTAATGTGGATTTCTGGGTGAACTTCATGCTAGGATATTGCAAGAGTCAAGGCCACTGCAAGGTCCTTTGGTGTGTCTTTGAAGATGAACTCCCAATGCAAAGTAGACAAAGCCTCCAAAGAGGCAGTGTTTCTTGGCCAAAATGCTTGGCATCTTAGTCTTTCCATTGTGAAGTCTGATAACAGCAAATTATCTTGGTCACTTCATGTCATCTGCAACACAATATCATCCATTTGATCAACTCATCTTTGTTCATAATTGATTCCTAAGACCATTGATTTCAGCAAGTTGTGGATTTTCCAATGGGGAACAGAGTGACATCTATTGTAGGCTTCAGGATAAACAGGTCAAGAGGAGAGGGAAAGCAATTAAATGCTCCTAAAACTACTCAGGACGTTGAGTGCTTCATGGTAGCACTTGAAGAAAGACAGGGTTGCCATGTGTTCAGATATTGCAGATTCCCTATATACTACTTCAGGTGCCTAAGAGAGCCTCTTGCCAATTTTATAACACTCTTTCAACTGTATTCCATTCGACGAAGCAATTACATTCAGCTTCCTGAAGAATTTTCACACTTGATACAAAAGAAACGAAATTCAGGGATTCACACCAATCCTCTAATTAAGGAAATGAGGAATGATATATCACAATCGAGCACACATGAAAATTATATTCCGCTCCATTTCACGCGACATATGCTTCCAAATCAATATACAACGTGCCGGGCGACCGATCGGTGACCCAAACTCGATTCGACGCATCTGACAACCCTGATCCCATCCCCCCCCCCCAGTGTCCCGCCCGACGTGATCTCATTCGCAGCGCCTTATTTAATCTCCCTTGATCCTCCGTCGTCATCCATCCGGTACACTAAGGGCGAAAGGCCGGGTTTAACTCGAGTTGATTTACTTTCTTCTCCCGCTTCTCTAGGAAGGACAGCTTTGAACGATAACAATTTAATTTAATTTAATTTAATTTACAAGGCTTGCTTAGCACCTTCCCCGACCTTAATTTTAATCGATGGCCTAATGGATGAAAATTCGGTGAATTTTCAGCTAAGGTGATGAAATCTACCCGAACTTCAAACATCATCTTGTGTAATGTTTGAGGACTTGCCGAGTCGATTCGAAATTGGACAAAGTCGAGTCCCTCGTGGGAAGATCTGCTAAACGTTCTCGTGGTTTCAACCTTTTCGTGTCGGGTCCACAAAGTTTGTGCGTTTTTCGAGTTTCTTTTTTTTTCTGTTAAATGCTGGGAAGGTAATCATAGAAAATAGCTTCAAATGCCTCAAATTTCGCATTTTTTCCAAAATGGTTCAATCCAATGGTTCATATCACGAATCAATAATTTGACATAAACATAACATCAATTAGGGCCATCGCGACAGATGACAGATCGATGCATCGTCGAGAGATAAGCGCCTGGACTGACTACGAAAGACTGGAAGGAAAAAAAAAAAAAGTTAGATCGGAGACAGGAAGTGAGAAGAGAGGGAGGAAAGCCCGGGAATATATTTTTTTATCTCATTCTTCGGCCCTGTCTCGTGCAGTGCATGCCGCGACAGTTTTTCTCCCTCGATTTCGAAGCGTGCATTGGTGAATCTCCCGCTCTATATTCCTGTCTCTCTAGTATGCAGGCTTAACTTTTTTTTTCTCATTTCCATCTTGCCCACCTTTTTACTTGAGGTGAACCGAAGTGAACTTTTTACATGGACGTTGCTTATTCTAGGACTGTACTGATGCATGGCGCCATAGGCAGATATCTGCGATGAGATGTCCGAAGAAGACCGTGTGGAACAGAGAAAAAGGGAAAGATTTTCCGTGAACGTGGCCGATTCTCAACGGCAATGAGAACAAATTAGGTCTGCCCTGATGAATCGATGAGCGGCCGTCGTCTTCGATAGTCGGAAGCATTTCATTCACTGAGCTGAGTGGTTTCATTACTCCTTGCAAAGGTCATACCCCGATCACGAGCGTGAGATTACGGAAGACGGGAGAAAAAAAATTGAATCCCCTTCCCTCGCGATGTTTTGAAAACTGCTATCGTGACAGTCCAAATATAAATAGTATAATATAATTAATCGTGGTTAAGAGTACAACTTCTTAAGCGTTATTTAAAAAAAAAAGTCCGAGCTCAAACGAAGGCCAATCAAATCACGGTAACGAATCCGAGAAAGCAAGAATAATTTCGAGTCTCGTGTAAAAGCGGTGGGAGAAAAAAAAGTGCTGCCTCGATCCACCCGAGACGCAGCCGTGCACCGGGCGAGGTCCAGGGCCATGCCCGGCTGGGTTCTTCCGCGATTGGCTGATAAACGAGGACTTCTCGGGTCGATGTGGGACTGCTCGCGTCATCCTCTATCTGCTTCCTTCATCCTCCTTTGTCATCCTCCCTCTACCTCGACCTCCTTCCATTTCGTCATACTCCATCATCCTCCCTCCACTCCGTCATCCTCCCTCCACTCCGTCATCCTCCCTCCACTCCGTCATCCTCCCTCCACCTCGTCCTCCTCCCTTTCACCTCGTCCTCCTCCCTTCACCTCGTCTGCCTTCCGCTTCATCCTCCTTCGTCATCATCTTTCTTCTCATCTCGTCATCTTTCCCTTCATCTGTCATGCAGCGGAGTTGACTCCCTCCGTGCCCTTTTGCGGAGTTCCCAGAATCCTCTCGACATTCTCGAGCCCTCCTCAATAATTCACCCAAGGTAACGCAGCGGAACTCCCGCCGAGGCAGACTCGAGCCGACGAAATGAGGATTCCCTCTCGGTTCCCATCGATCGCCGTCGACCGGTCGGTAACGACTTCGGACTCGCGGAATGAGCTCCGGCTTTCCTCCTCGTCGAGGTGCTCCCTTCCAAAATGCACCTCGAACCAATACCAAAAAAAAAGCCCTCGAGACACTGAATATTCATTTACGATGCGGTAAATAACGGGAAAATGATAACTAAATTACAAAATCCATTGGGAATGGATTTTTTACTTTGCGCCCTTGAAGGCGATCCGGATCGGATTCGACGCTCCTCCGTTCCGAAGGAAACCGATCGGCATGTTTGCCGAGCAGTTGTGGTTCATCCACGAATTAAATTGTAAAAAATTCTGAAATTGGGCTCTTGATCTTTTCATTAACAACCTGCGATTACGGTGAGACTTGTTTTGTGAAATTAGCGGATGCAATCAGTGCATGGATTGCTTCTCAAGTAGCACAAAGGTAAGAAGCATAAATCTTCTTCTAAAAAAATATTGAGGGGGGGGGGGGCAAGGTCCTAATGCCCTGAAATAACATTGACGAAATCCTTCCAGGATCCAGTGTTATTATGGTAGCTGCTTGAAGAGTTGGGGGGGGGGGGGGATCTCACAGTTGAAGCTCTAAACAGATAGAAATAAATCACATATCTCATATCTTTCACGAAACAGCATTTTGTTTCCCATGTTCCATGTGCCCCTTTGCCCCCATGGGTTCGGCGCCTATGGTAGGGAGACATGCAGCATTATGTATGTGGCACTCCAGCCCTCCACTCGCGTGATCCAGTTGCAGTACCAAGAGTTCCCACTAGATGGTACCCGTGTTCCCTGCACCCTTCAAATGCAATTAAGTACCGGCTTCCTAATTTAGCAGAAGTGTTTCCTTCCTTATTTCCCCTCTTTATTATGCAATTTATGAAAAGATATGAGGAATGCATGGAATCATGACGTTTTGACCGCAATGTATGACTCAGGGAATTATTAAATGCCGAAGTGATGGGAATGCAAAAGTGCACGGGAATACGGAAGGGTAGAATGCAAAAATTCATCTCTTCCTGNCCACCACCCCAATTTTTTTTTTTTTTTTTTTGGGGGGGGGGGGGGGGGCCACGTGCCCCTTTGCCCCCATGGGTTCGGCGCCTATGGTAGGGAGACATGCAGCATTATGTATGTGGCACTCCAGCCCTCCACTCGCGTGATCCAGTTGCAGTACCAAGAGTTCCCACTAGATGGTACCCGTGTTCCCTGCACCCTTCAAATGCAATTAAGTACCGGCTTCCTAATTTAGCAGAAGTGTTTCCTTCCTTATTTCCCCTCTTTATTATGCAATTTATGAAAAGATATGAGGAATGCATGGAATCATGACGTTTTGACCGCAATGTATGACTCAGGGAATTATTAAATGCCGAAGTGATGGGAATGCAAAAGTGCACGGGAATACGGAAGGGTAGAATGCAAAAATTCATCTCTTCCTGCACTTTTTGCGCGTTATCCCAGCCAAAATGTCCCGCAGATTCCCTATACAAAAATATGCAATGGGATCGTTATAGAATGCCATCATTTCGCTATATTGAATTGTATTAAACTGCATGGAGATTCTTTAGAAATCCTATCAAAGATCTCATCAAATTTCTATGGAATTCTTCGAAGACACTGTGAAGAAATTCTATTGAATTTCTAAAAAGTTGCGCGAACTTCTTTTTGCGATACTGTACAGAAATTATACAAAATCGATATAGAATTCTGAAGTTAGTGTATAAAAGAAATTATGGAAATCCCATCGAACTCCTCTGGGAATGAATAGGGAGGGATGGTTGATCTCATGGAGATCGTGCATGGGATTCCATTTCAAGTGATGCAATTTTTAAAATGTTTAATTTTTTAATTTTTTAAATTTAATTTTAATTTTTTATTTTTTTATTTTTATTTTTGGCTGCTGCACCGACTGGGATTTGGCTATTAAAAAAGAATTTGGGCAGGCCCGGTCCAGTAGTGGGGCCTCCTTTCGGTTAAGGAAACCCTCATTTTGTCGCCTAATTGAACAAAACGATGTTCTTCCCGGTCTTCGACCACCAAAAACCTCATTTTTTCTCATTTATATTCGGTAAAAAATAGACTGACACACGGACGGACAGGACAGACAGGATAGCTTGATTTTGCTTTTAGGAGAAACCTTGAAACTCTCAGGGGAATAAGTGGCGAGACGGACGCGGAGGAGGAAACTCCTCGGATGCGCCTCCGCTCTCCAAGTGTTCCACGGAAGTTTCAATTTCCTTTCCTTTCCCTGTTTTCGATTCCACGAAGGCTGGCCTCAAACGCACCCTCCGTGCTTCATGCTCCCATCGATCGCAACAACGATTCGTGAAGATGACGCACCGGCCACCCCAGAGTTTTTCGTCCACTCGTCCACAGTACCCACGTGGTCGTATCCTTCCCCCTTGCACGGTACCTGGCCCTTCGCCGACGAGCACAATGATCTGCATCGAGTCCAATCCAGGTGCAACGACTGGTCTATTGAATTCTCTAGAACTACATTGGAAACTCTATAGAAGTCGATATGTTTCTCTGGAACATTTTTGCCTGGGCATGCAGAAGCGTTCATAGAACCCCGTTCGCATCCTCAGGGTCCCGTGTCAGACGCAGCAGAGGAATGTGGTCGGTCGTGTCATGTCATGGTCATGTCATGGTCATGTCATGGTCGGTGCCCAGCACCACGATTGCCTCTTTTGAGCCCGCCAGAGCTCCAAGCTTCAGAGGCAAAACGGCTGTGCTGTCAGGTCCCTCGGAATACCATTCCTGGCACATTCGGACGTGCAGTAGATGGCCACAACCTGGTAAAGTTAGTGGGGCCGCCGGCTTGCTTCCCTCAACGCAGCTGACGGCCCCCATGTGCCACATGGGTTTGGTTCAATTGCAGTCGTTGCTGCGAATTTCTAATCAACTGACTTCTCGCATGTTCGCACGTTTCAGTTTCAGTTTTCTCTGCTTCGACTTCGGGAACAAAAGGTCTTCATCTTTGAAACAATGGGGTCTACTTGATACGACTGAAACATGTCTTGGAGTCCTTTGAACGTCCTTGTTTTCGAGACATGAAGCATAGGCAATGAAAATGCATTTAACGATAATTATTAACCATCGATCCAAAAATATTCAGCGGAAGCCATTCAATTCACATTTGAAGCTCAAAGACTCTCATCCACTCGAAAGATTTCCTTTTCTTTTTGACCCCTTTCATCCCTTTCACCCTTTTCGTCCTCGCCATGGGGCATGTACCCAGCCCCCTCACCTTGGGCCGGAGGACTACTTTCTCCGGCCAGCTTTGCCCTTAAATAGTGGCGGTCTCCCGATATTCCGGGCATTCGCTGAGCATTCTTGGTGTCATTCTCGCCTGCCAATTCACTTCTCGTCGGTGTCACTCATGCCTCCCGATCCTCCTCTTCTCCGCAGTGCATCTCGGGAGCCTCCCCTCACTTCCCGGGAATCAGAACTCCACTCATTTCTTCAGCGTCCTGGTGACCTCCACTTGGAGGATGTTTTTGTTAACGTGATTATACCTTGCTTAGATAAAAACCTTTTTTTTTTGCATTTCCTACCATGTAAAATCCTGTTCGCGTGAGGCTTAGCGCTGAACCCACTCAAGCCTCCACTCATCCACCTCACCCTTCAACAGCTCCATAATAGCATCTCCACTTGACACTGAATACCCGTGATCGAAGATCCCCGTGACGTCATTTCCGCTGTCCGTTCCCTCCCGGCGGAGGTCGAGGAAAGGGGTCTAGTGCCCGAAGCGCAGAGCACGAAGGAGCATCAGGCCCGCTCCGCCATCCACGGAAGGTCGTGTCCCTTTCCCCTCACGCCGTAAGTTCGTATCTCTTTGAATTGCTTCTTCCGTACGTTGCTAGATAACGGAGTACTGGAAAATGCTCGGAATAAAAAAAAAAGTTTCGAGATCTGATTCGGATCAGACTCCATCCCAGTAATTAATCTCTTTTCACATGTGGTGAAAACATGTTTTTTCTTGGAACCAGACCTGATTCCCTCACCAGAAGGAATCCTCTTAGAGGAGACAGCAGACGAGAAAATCATCTTGAGTGCAGGGGATATTCTTCCCCTCTTCCCCTTCCTGTGCAAAATTACCGGAGTGGTTATCGCAACTACCTCTTACCTTGCTCTTAGTTTGCGATTTTGTTAAGCCTTGAAAATAATATTCGAACGCAAGTAATACGTTTTTGAATGGGAGACTTCGTCCCCACACGGAATCAATTATCCCCTGCCAAAAACCAGCTATTAACGCTAGGAAGAAAAACCATACCAAATAGTTAATTCGTCAGAGGTAACCCTTCTACCTCTGTCTTATTTTCGAGATCACTTTCGCCCAAAGTACGCAAAAGTACCCCCAAAACCATGAAGCCATGACACCCAGGACCAAGGTACCATCGCATGGTGACGTCACGTGATCATGACGTGGACGTCAAAATTATAATCGTTTGTGACTAGGTGTGGCTGGAGACACCGACAAACCTGAACATGAAGTTGGTGGACATCCAGAAGGCGGCCGACAACCGAGTGCCACCCTCGTTGTCGACAATACCTTCTTGACGCCTTGCTTCAAGGTTCATCGTGAATCATGTTTGCATGCAACGTAATCCGATCACAACGATAATCAGGAAACAAGCGTGGTCGGAAGGGTCGTTGGCTAACGTGTTCGACACGTTCCGTACGTGATGTGTCGATCCGTCGACACATCACGAGGAGTGACTGTCGATTCGTCCCTCATTCTCCTTGAGGGAGATCCGATCGCCGACGAATCACGTCGGGGTTGAAGGAACCAACGCTAAGGCGAAAGAAACGTGTTAGGAGCATGGACAGCCTCACTTATCTTTCGCTA